AACTTCAATATAGCTTATAAACTTACAGGTTATATTTTCCAAATAAAGATCGTACTTTCCTATAATATCCCCATCATACATGTTTTTTTGTTTTGTTTGTTTTTTTACCAATTTTACCATGCCACTCTCTCATCAAGAGGTACAGCCTAATAGACAGGAGGTCACTCAGTGGTACAGCACTTCTTGCCTAGCATGCAGAGGCCCTGAGTTTGTTCTGCAACTCTGGGGTAAAAAACAAGAAGAGTTTATTCCCCTCTTAAATCCAGACAGATTCATGAGTATTTTACCATGTAGTGGCAATACTACACAATTCTGAGACTAGGTCATAAAAAGACACCAGTTTCTTCCTTGTTCTCCTGAAACGTTCACTCTGGGGGAAAAGAGTTACCAGTTAAGAAGTTAATTTACGGGGCTGGGGATGTGGCTCAAGCGGTAGCGCGCTCGCCTGGCATGCGTGCGGCCCGGGTTCGATCCTCAGCACCACATACAAACAAAGATGTTGTGCCCGCCGATAACTAAAAAATAAATATTAAAAAATTTAAAAAAAAAAAAAAAGAAGTTAATTTACCCTGATGGCCATGCTAGAGACAAGTACTCGCTTCAGTAGTCCCAGCTGAGTCCAACCTTACAGCCATCCCTGGCCATAGCAACAACCTGTGAGAGAAGCCATCTTGGATCTTCCTTACCAGGACGTCTACCAGAGGAGTATCGCTGAGTGATCTCAGTACTGCCACGAGGAACAAAAGTCCTGGCAGAACTGGAGAGCATCTAAGATGGTTTTTGCTTTACCTCAATAAGTTTAGGGTAGATTGTTACATAGCAATACTAACTAGAACATAAACTAGTAATTCATTAGATAAATTCAAAGATGATAATTCTGTAGAAAATGTAACACATATTGATTGACTCTGTCTATAAAACTAATCATAATAACAGGAAATATTACATGTCATTATTGAATTCTTTTACTTAACATGGCAAAGTAATTATTTGCATTGACCTAATAGCAATATATCTTTCTCCTTGCCAGGATATAATTAGACAAAACAAATTTGTAACCATGACCATGCCAGAGATGTTTCACTTAATGGTAAATCTCATTTAATTAGGCATGAAAATCCCACGGGTAAGAAAAAAGGATCACACTCCTGTATGTAGAAGTAATGCTTCAAAGACCTTCCAAGAACTAACCTGGGACCTTGTGAAGTCTCAGTTTTACACATAGTACAGGATATCACTTTCTGGAAGGCCAGGAACACTGTCAAATTTGGAGATCTTAGAACAAGAGAATACCTCCACAGTCTCAAGTACTATAGGCAAAATCAGTAGAGAAAAGTTAGATGGATTTGAGTTTCTGGCCTTCAAATACATGAACTCTAAGGACAATTAAGATATTTCTATAATTATCAAGTGATTTACTCTCTAACCCTGATATCACTGAACATAAAACAAAAAGGTCTTTATGTGTTAACTGTTGTTTCTTACATAAATGAAATACACTAAATATAACAGGGAGGTCACTAACCATAAAGTTCCAAGTTTTCAATCTTGAGAATATTAAAATGAAATTGACAGATACATTAAAATAGGTTAGAAATCACAATCTAGAGCTTATATATCCTTTATATATATTTTCACATACACGCATGGAAATAGATATTTTCAAATGCTCTACTCATTTGCCTATTCTCTCCAAAGAACTCTAAAAATATAATATTTGTTTTGAAAAGATCGTAGGCAGTATATTTCTTGCTCAGTTTAAGTTTTTTATGTTTCCTACACATAGGATGAGAACACACAGTGGATTAATAGAACTGTTTCTGCATCACAAAATTATAAAACAAATCTATTTGGTCAATTCCACATCTTAACTACACAGATTTGAATCAGAAGTATGCACTGGAAAAAAGTGGAATGGATCTTTTCTACCTATCCTATACCTCTGTCAACTACAGACCAGTGAAATGGAATTATAGGGCCATTCTAAAGCTGTATAATAACCAGTGATAAACTACCAAAAAAACCCACAAAACAAAAATACATCATGGTTTGTTTGCTTTCAATCAAATCTCATTAAAGTGTATCCAATTAGAATTATAGACTGCCACACAATAATGTGAATGGTAAATGTCACCATCTCCATATCCTGTGAGCCATAGGTTATTTGGTAATGAAGTCCTCTTTGTATTGTGCTTTACTGTAAATAAAAACCTAGTTCAGCATTCAAAAATTAGCTAGGAGTTCTTTTCTTTGACAAATCAAAATTGGCAAAAAATACTTAATATATAAATAATCCCAGTTGACAATGATAATAAAATAAGCTTATTATGTGTGTGATGACTTTCAGCTTATTTTAATTCAACAGGTGACAGGTATCCTTACATAGAGCTATAATTTCATCAAAGCAGTCAATTATGATGAGGTATTTATCCATAGTTGGCGAAACGTTTAGTTCCCTACCAAACTATATATTGTCCTTTTAAAATTTTTCTGAAGAACTTTGGCTTTGATGAGTAGGCTGCCCTTCACATTCCCAAGAGATTGCTTATGAAGGCATAAAATATCCAAGTCTGCATGATGACACGAGAGCTCTCTGAGCCTCCCTTGCCAGTGCAAACAGAAAGAGCCTAAGATTAGTCTTCTCTGGTTTGAAGATCCTGGAACACAACAACATCACGACATCAAGGGCAGTTTTCTTTCAAGAGGATTACTCTTATCCTCAACACTCAACTCAGCCATCCCTTACTGTCACCACAACAGGGTTAGGTTGCAGCATTCTCTGGGGAACAAGTACAAAGTATGATCCATACACTTATACATAAAAATAACTACAAAACTTGCCTCTTTGTATTGGTAGAAAGCTGAGAAATATATATGAGAATTCACCCTTTGAGTGTTAGATGAAGAAAAACAATGTAACACCAGAATAGGCCATTTATATATATATATATATATATATATATATATATATATATATATATATATATATATATATATATATATAATTCACTTACCAGAGAATTAGGAGGGGCTCAAACAGTTAGCTTGGTTGGCTGACTGACACTTGGGCTCTACGTCTACCAGGAGGTAGAGGCAGGGATCCAAAGGCTTCGGGAAATTGGAATGTTGGAGTAGATTTATCATGTGCCAACTTAAAAATACACAATCCCTCTGTCATTACACCCACAGAAGGGCCCACAGGATACAACCGTCACGCAGGCTCCACCTCCATTACTAGAATGTCATTACTGGTAACAGGTTATTATTCTGGCTCCTTTACAACCCTGACAGTCACAAAACTCAACACAATGTTACAAAATAAGAACCTCTCCAATGTTTCCTCTCTAGTCCTTTGTTCATTCTCTTTGTGGGGCCTGCTACAAAGTGCAGTTATTTAATTTGTCTGGGGTTTTTGTTTTGACTTAGTTTTGAGTTTTGGGTTTTTCTTCATTTGTTTTCACTGTCTCCTCCACTAGATTATAAGGTCCATAGAGCAAGGACTGCATCCAACTTATTCATCACTGTCCCAAAAACGTAGTATAGTGCCTGGTATAGAGGCATTCAATAAAAATGTGTAAAAGCCAAAACGAAAGGGATGTAGAGATAGTTTGCATTTGTCGACATTAAATTCTGTTCCCTCCCTTTTCCTGGAACAGGTATGTTCACAAAAACATTATCCTCTCAAAGACATGGTTAACATCTCAATTTAAAACATGTTGTAACTTATAAGTCTCTTGTATACTTTTTCAGATGATGATGTGGTCTGCTAATATCACATGTCTTAATAAATTTATATTATGCCCAGAAAAACATTTTTTCAGAATTTTCAACAGGAAAAAGAAATTCCTTTTAATCAACGTCAATTCAAGCTGGGTGAGGAGGCTCATGCCTGTATTACAGGGGCTTAGGTGGCTGAGACGGTAGGATGGAGTTCAAAGCCAGCCTCAGCCAAAAGCGAGGCACTAGTAACTCAGTGAGACCCTGTCTCTTAATAAAACACAAAATAGGGCTGAGGATGTAGCTTAGTGGCCAAGTGTCCCTCACCTGAGTTCAATCCCCAACAAAAAGGGGGAAAAAAGTCAATGAGAGAATAAATTTCTTATTTTTTATAAGCTTTTAAATATTTTACATTAATCTTGGTCACATCTAATTTCACAATAAATTTCTGAAAGAACTTATTTTACTTACTTTCTCAGAACATTCAATGTAGGTTTTGTAGAAATAACCCCCCCTTTTACACTAATGTTTCATCATTTTGCAGAATAGGTACAACAAATGAACCTGGCATAATTCTGGAAACAAACACAATTACCTCTTAATAAGGAAACAATTTGACCTGGGCAAATACACGTGTACCAAGTATCATCCTGGCAATGTGCCAGCAACAGGTGGTCACACATCCGGTTCATCAGTTTGTTTTACGGAGGAAATATGCAGCACTGATTTATTCATCAGGTTGGTAAAGTAGAAGTCAGTTAAGAGAGTCTTTGCCAAGTTACAATTCAGGTCTCAGGTATAGCTGACTAAAAAGAAAGTTCAACGTAGCACCCCTGCCACAGGTGTACCTGCTACCTTTTATACTTGCTCTCAATCATATTTGTTATATATTTAGAGACGCTGAGATCAAAGGAGTGAAAAATACTCAATATTGAAGTGAAGCAACAGAAAAAGATTCAGATGTTTCACTGAGGACATGATAAAATAATCAGAAAATCTGACTTAGAACAACAAAAATAGGTGAGTCAGTAAAAGGCATTTCAAGCAAATTACAATAGGTCTAAAATAACTTAATGAAATTATTTTGAAAGATTAATAAAAACTTTTAAATAAAAAATTACTTAAAAGATGGTTCATCTTTAAAACATGCCATTAACAGAATAAAAAAGAAGTTTCCTGAACTCTAAATAAATATATCAGTGCTAGAAACCCACCTGAAAACATTAAACTTAGATTAGCTGTGTTCCATTTGCAATCATGGAGTGTTTAATGCAAGAACTTACTTATCTCACTGGAAACCTGGTTCAGTTTGTCTTGTGATCGGCTGATTAGGACAACCTTCATTCCACGATTTGCTAGCTGAAATAATAAAAAAGAATGTAAATTACATTTTTGCATTTCATTTTAAAACATAAATTAGATATATACCCATTTTAAGAAAACCTGACCAGATGATAATTCAAAATATAAATCCATGTGTAAAGAACAGGCAATCCATAACGAAAACGTTACAGAATTTCTCAAAGGGCTGTCTTTCTAAATCAAGTATTCAGGGGTTGGGGTTGTGGCTCAGTGGTAGAGCACTCACCTAGCACGTGAGAGGCCCTGGGTTCGATCCTCAACACCACATAAAAATAAATAAATAAACCAAGTATTCAAATCTCAAGTGTTTTAGAAGGCAAGTGACTTTTTCCTTTTGAATCTGTATATTGTTTGAGTTTTTAAAATTGTTACATGTCCACTACTTCCATAATTTAAAACTTAGCTTTAAAAAGAAAGTTTTCACTGAAGAAGAGAGGGAAAGGGAAGTACTGGGTAATGAACTTGATCAAATTATGTTATGTGCATGTACAAATATGTCACAATGAATCCCAGTACTAGGTATAATCAGAATGCACCAATAAGGCAAGTTTTTGTCATGGACTGGATATATAAAACAAAGATCAAAAGACTAGCAAAGAAAACTACAGTTAAAATGTTAGGAAATTGGGGCTGGGGATATAGCCCAGTTGGTAGAGTGATTGCCTTGCATGCACAAGGCCCTGGGTTCAATCCCCAGTACCAAAAAAATAAATAAAATAAAATAAATAAAATGTTAGGAAATCCTAAAAAATAGGATAAATACTTAAAATTTTTCTTGGGCATTATAGTTTATAGACAACCAAGGTAACAAACTAAGATTGTTAAATGAATAAATTAATAACAATTTTTTCTGAAGAGCACCTTCTATATGTGTATACAATGCTGTGTAAGCGTCGCATAGAATGAAAAAGATTTACAAGAATATGGTTAGGGGCTGGGGTTGTGACTCCGTAATAGAGCGATTGCCTAGAATGCGTGAGGCACTGAGTTCGATTCTCAGTACTGCATACAAATAAGTAAAATAAACGTCCATCAACAACTAAAAAAAAATATTTAAAAAAAAAAAGAATATGGTTAATGTCCTAGGGACATATAAATATAGAGGGGTAAGGAAAAAAACTAATATTCACAAAACGTCTTAATGCACTACTCCAGTTTATAAATGAACAATAAGTTAGGTGCTATGAACTATAAGTGATTTAGTAAATTAATATCTAGTCTTAAATCCTAAAGTCAGCTTTTATTAAGTAATGAGTAGTACTGTAAATGAAGTTATGGAAGAACATTTTTTATAATAACAAAGGCTGGTAATTTGCTAAATTAATCTGCTATAAACCCACTAAAGAATTCATTAGCCATACTGATATTAAAAAGAAAATTAACAGAGGAAGAGAGACAAGGAAAAGCTTTTATTTATACAAAAAAAAAAATCGAATAAATGTAGGACAGAGACCATTAGAAAATCACCAACTCTTTAACCACTATGATAATAATAATTTAGGCAAAAATTGTCAGTGGATCTTAAAACCACTGGATGAAAGATTGCTGGCAAACAGGATATTTACAGTCTCAAAGCTTCATGCCACCTACTTCTTATTAATTATCTATATAATGGAGTCATGGTATTATGATGTAGTATGAGGTGTCCCCCAAAAGCTCCTAGTTAATGCAGGAATGTGTGGAGGATAAATTATTAAAATATGAAAATTCTAACCTCATCAGCCTAGTGTGGATGGCCTGGATGGTAACTGTAGGCAGGTGGGGTATGGCTGGAGGAGGTCGTTCTCTGGGAGTGAGCCATGGAAGAGTTCATCTTCCTTACAGCCCCTTTCAACCCCTGCTGCCTGGCCACCAAAAGGTGAGCAATGTTCCTCCACCATGCCCTTCTGCCATAATGTCCTGCCTTACCTTGGGCCCAGAGCAATGGAGTCCCCCGACCATGGACTAAATCTCTGAAAACTATGAGCCATAATGAACTTTTCCTCTTCCAAAAGTTGTTCTTGTCCAGTATACTGGCCACAGCAACAAAAAGCTGACTAACTTAGAAATGGGCTAACATATAAGGTAGACAGCATCTTAATAAACTGTTTACCTTAACATAATCAATAATGAAACAAATGGACTTCTTATGCTTCTTGGTAGAATGAACTCACAAGAATAAATATCATTTGCATAACATTCCTGTTAAAAATGTTTCTCCAGCCAACACACTGTAATCCCAGCTACATGGGAGGTAGAAACAGGAGAATCAATAACAAGTTAAACTGTGTCAAGTTAAACTCTGTGTGAGCATTGTATTGGAGTTATAAGGGTGTTTTAGTTCTTGTAAGACTGATCCCCAAATATTTTGGGGTGAACTGTTATGATATCTAAAAGTAATTTACAAATGGTCCTGCCAAATAACAATAATAATGAAAACAGTAACAATAAAGTAAGTTAACAGTGACAAAATGTTAGCTGGAGAATCCAGGTGAAGGTATATGGGTGTTCATTGTATTCTTCTTCAAACAATTCTACAATTTTAAAATTCTTCAATATAAAAAGGTGGGGAAAAAAAGATGATTTTTTAAAAAGCTGGGAATGATGTGAGGGATTCAGTGCCTCTAACAGGATCTTCACCAGAACTGAGTACCTTTGCAGGGCCTGGAGGGCAAGGAAACTTGCCTCAAGCACTGCCCCAGTTCCCGCTCTGTACCTCAGTCTTCAGATGACTGCTTTCTTAGCCATTCCGTGCAGTACACAGGGCGTCAATGCTTTGCCTGAGCCTGTCAATATTTTTCTGTTAACCACAGACCTTCTTATAAAAATGTGACCGCCTATAACATTTCTATCTTTTGGAAAATAGTTAAAAATAACTGACTTTAAAAACTGAGGACTGGGGGCCGGGATTGTGGCTCAGTGGTAGAGCGCTTGCCTATTATGCGTAAGGCACTGGGTTTGATCTTCAGCACCTTATAAAAAATAAAATACAGGTATTATGTCCATCTACACTAAAAAATATTTTTTTTAAAAAAAAGTACTGCATACACTTAAATGATATAAAATTAAAGCTACACTCATTTTCTTAGAATTAAACATCATGGAAAGTTTTATTCTTATTTTTCCCAGATATCTGCTTTAAAAAAATTTTTTATGTACACAAACATGGTATTTCAGACAAGATAAAAACAAACAAAACCATTGTACTATGTATCTGTTAATTTCAAAAATCAAAATTATTATGAAAGTATTCTATATTTGTTCATTTTTTAATGATAAAGAGAAAAGTTTTGAAAATCACCTACCTCTTCTGCATATGCTTTTCCAATTCCATCAGTACTACCTGTGACAACTGAGAAAGGAAAAAATAATACTTTAGTTTAAGAACAACAATGAGGAACTGGTCAAATTTAGAACCCAACAATTATACACAAAGAAATCTGTAGAATATTCTGGTGTGAAAAAGCAACAGCTGGGCTGGAGGTACTCCGTGGTAGAGTGCGTGCTGAGCTCGCACGAGGCCCTGGGTTCAATTCCCAGCTCCAATAAAATAAAACAGCAATACCAATGGTTCAAATTTAAGGTTGAATACCCATCACAACCTCTGAAATTAAATACACTGCAACATTAACTAGAGTATCAGGTGTTGACAAAGAAATAGAGTAATTGGAATTCTCATATATTACTCTATCACTGAGCTACATCCCAACCCTTTTTATTTTTATTTTGAAACAGGATTTCCCTAATTTGCCAACGCTGTTGAACCTGCTATTCTCCTGATTCTACTTCCCATATAGTTGGGATTACAAGTGTGTTGGCAGGAGAAACTTTTTTTTTTATATATATATTTTTGAGACTATATTGCTATATAAATCAATACAATTATTTTAGAAAAACTATTTGGCAATATGTCTAGAACTAAAGCTATGCCTACCCTATGACAACAATTTCAAAAGATACAGATACATTATGTCTACCAAAAGAATGGCCATGGTAGCTCACTTATGCAGAGCAGGTACACATGCCTAAGTATTAATCTATAGGAAAGTAAATAAACTGAGGAATAATTATACAATGAATACTAAACAGTAATATAAAAGAACAAACTACTGATATATGGAAAACATGGACAAATCTGAGACATTGTGTGGAATGAACAAAGTATAACACAAGAGTATGTAATATTTCCAGTTATTAAGTTCAAGAAAAGGCAAAACTAATTTTTGGTGACAGGAGTCAGAATATAGCTTACCTCTGGGTTGTGGGGTAGATGACAGGGAAAGGGTATAATGGAAAGTCCTGGGTACAGGAAATACTCTACATCTTGATTAAGACAGCATTACTCCTGTGTGTATGCATTCATTGAGCTTCTATGTACCCTGACGTACACAATTATTTGTATATATTGTATCTCAATGAACTAATTTTTAAATTAAGGGTAGTACCAAGAAATTGAATGAGATTTAGTACTTCTATGGGAAAGTACATTTCTCTTATAATCTTAAAAACTTTATGTAGTAGAAACATTTGAAAATTATAATGTGGGGGCTGGGGATTTGGGTCAATGGTAGAACATTTGCCTGGCATGTATGAGGCCTTGGGTGCCATTCCCAGCACCCCACACCCGTGCCCCGACACATTCACACAATGGGTCAGGCTACACCATGGTATCTTAACTCTGGAATACTGGAATTGTGTTTGTCTCAAGTTCAGAGCATGGGCCGGAAGTGATGGCAGGTGCCTATGATACTAGAGATTCAGGAGGCTAAGGCAGGAAGATGGCAAGTTCAAGGCCAGCCTCAGCAACTTAGCAAGACTCTCCCCGTCTCAAAATTGAAAAAAATAAAAGACCTGGAGATTAGACATAAGCTCAGTGGGAAAGTGCTCTGTGTTCAATTCCCAGTATAACCTCCCTACAAAAGAGTTTAAAGGATGGATATCTGCTTCAAAAGATTAAGGATGCCCCAGAACTTCTCTAAATAAACTTTTCTAAATCAATTAGATTATGGAAAACAAATTATGGTGCAACTTGTAGAATTTTCTTGTACTTGTCTTAAAGGCACTTCTTTCAAATTATACAAGGAAGCTCCCAATTTTACTATTCAGAAATATGGGAAACACATTCATATTCTTCCTGGCTATATCTTTCAAAATCAGCTATCATATTTCTAGCATTTAAAAAAAAGACTTTTTGGAATAAAAAAGCAAAAAAGAAAATCCAGAGAGCAGTAAAAACCTCCACATACCCATGGTCCAGCTTTACCCATGATCAACTTGAGGTAAATCTTGTTTTACCTATACTCCACATTTTCCCCACCTTGGATTATTCTGAAATGAATCTCAAACATCATATCACTTCATCCCTTGATTTTAGTATGTATCTGCTATTAAAAACAACAAAATTGGGGCTGGGGTTGTGGCTCAGTGGCTCAGCGGTACAGCGCTCGCCTAGCACATGCAAAACACTGGGTTCAATCCTCAGCACCACATAAAAATAAAATAAAGGTATTGTGTCCAGCTACAACTAAAAAAAATTTTTTTTAATCATTCTCATACTACTAAAACTATAATAAATTTTCCCAAAATTAAAACTTTAATAATTTGTTTTAATCAGGATTCAATAATTTTCATATTCCATATTGTTTAACATGTCTATTAATAATAATCTATAGGCTCTATCTACCCACCGACACTCCCCCCCCCCTCTCTCTCACACACACACATACACACTCGTTATTTGTTGAATATACAGACCCAGATTTATGCTTTCTCAGCCTGGCATTTGCTGACTGCATTTCCCTGATATGATTTAACATGTTCCTCTGTCCTTTAGTAGTTTGATATAGACACATGATCAAGTTCAGGTTTGAATTATATTCCTAAGAATACTTCATAAGCAATACTACATATTTGCATCAGAAGGCACAGGTCTGGTTATCTTTCCTTTTGCTCTGTGAGTGGTCATGGATGATTTCCGTTGAGATCCATTATTTTATTAGGGGTTGCAAAATGGTAGCATTTGCATTCACTCATTCATCTCCATCTATTAGGTAAAAATATTTCCACAGAGAACTTAATCCTCATTAAATGATCACCATGATGGATGGTTTTTATAGGAACACAAGTAAGTGTTTGAATATTTTCACCTTTTTTTTTTTTTAAATACACACACACGTATATATTTTGGTTGCTGATTGATCTTTTTTCCTTTATTTATTTGTGGTGCTAAGAATAGAACCTAATGCCTCATACATGCTAGGCAAGTGCTCTACCAGAGCTACAACACAGCACCACCTCTGTCAATTTTTAAAATAAATTATTTCCTTGGCATTTTCCACAGGTAACTTATGTTTTTACCATTAAGAAACATTATTAAATCACAGATTTAAACATTTGTTGTAGAATCTAGCTAAATAAAATTAAGCATCATATGAAAGTCCCTCCAACCCCATTATCAATGCAATTGTTCTTTCCTTTAACATTTTATCTCCTGAATATTTCTGGATGTGTGAAGACACAAATTTTATACTGTATTCCTGATACTGACTCAATAATGTTTCACATGTGAAGGACAAACACATACTAAAACGTTCCAGTCTCTCCTTTTCCTTCTTGATAAACCTCCCTTCTGCCTTCTTCCTTCAAAGCCCAATCCAAGCTCCACCAATTCTACTGTTCCAGATCACTCCAAATAAAAGTAATCGCTTCCTTTTCTAAATTCCCACAAGCACTTTACCCAACCATGACACTTCACCACTCCTTATTTTGAATTGTAATTCCTTGCATCTACATGTCTTTATTCTTTGATCTGATTCTAGCCTCCTTTCTACACGCCATGCTCAACATAGGTGCTCAGACATTTGCTGAATGCATGAATGATGCTCACCAGTTTTAATCTTTTAAAACTGTATAAGACTGCTTGCCTGAGAACCTGATTTCTCAAAGGTCTTCACTTTTCAAATTCAGTAGCTTACACTCTTCATAGCCGCCTATCAGTCACTGACCTATCTTACTTACAAAGCCTTTTGTATGTAGATTATTCTGCTGAAGCCTACAACTGTGAAGCAAGCAAGCCACAAATGCAGTTATAGCAACTGGTGGCAGCATCAGATTTCTTAGGTTAGAGGTTTAAAATCTGTTAACAACTTAAGCACCACCATAAAATAAAATCTCTCAACAAGAATATGACCAAGAATTAAACAACGATAAAGTCATTCTACATTGTCCATCTAAAATTATTGGCTGGAATACATTTCAAAAGAACATCAACAACTCTGTTGTGTGCGTCTGTTTTAGAAGTTGCCAACCCCACCTGAACTCAGCATAGCACAGTGTCATTATAACCAATGACAGTCGTAGACAGCTAGAATCTGCCAGGTCTGGAGATTCCAAACTTTGCTTAATGGATATCGAGTCTTCCTTTTCCAAATTCTCCAAGTTTGGGGATTTATAGTGGCACTCAATTCATGAGTTACTTATTAAGTTGATATGAATGTGGAGATATTTTATTTTTTTCTTCCTTCTTTGTTTGTACCACAGATTGAACCCAGGGAACTTAACCACTGAGCCACATTCCCAGCCCTTTTTATTTTGAGATGGGGTTTTGCTTAGTTGCTTAGGGCCTCCCTATTGGCTTATTATAGTTGACAAAAACTTCCACTTCTCTTTTGTTTTCCCCATCCTTCTGATTCTGTCAATAGTGTTTATATTACTGGAATATTGCAAAGTAATTCTGACATTCACCATCAAGATTTAGCACAGATCCCTTACATTAAGGGCATGGTCCCCAACCAGACTGCTCTTCTGATGCCAGACACAAAGTTCAGAGGCCCCAGGCTACCCACACTTCTGACTACAAACTGGCTACAAATTTGGGGGTTCCCACAATCCCCCGGACTTGATAATCTACTGGAATAATTTAGAGAACTTGAAATAACTTCCAGTTATAGAGGATACAAACCAAGATCAACCAAATGAAGAGAACACATAGGGTAAGGTCTGAGAAGCTCTATGTCCTCTCCCCAGGGCAAAGAATCAGGGGAGGCACATTGCCTTCCCAGCACAACAATATCTCTACCAACCAAGAAACTCCATCCAGCTTCAGTGTCCAGATTTTTATCAGGTTCCATTATAAAGGCATGACTGACTTGATCACTGGCCACACGACTGAAGTCAATCTCTAGATCTCCTGCCCTTCCCAGAGGCCAGGAGGCTGGACTGATCAGGTGGCTCAAAGTCTCAAGCTCTAATCACATAACTTTCAGGCATGTCCGGCCCAACGCTTGCAAGCTATCTAGGGTTCCACCAGAAGTCATCCTATAGGAAAGTCCTCCTAAGAATTTGGAGTCTCCT